TATATCGAGTTTTCGGAGAAGACCACCGTGGCTTGTGTAGACTAATTTGCCGCAATTCGGTATGAGTGGGGACTGGTCGGTGTGGGAATTTAGCAGTTGATTTTTTTTACTGCATTGATTGCGCAGACCCCAATTGGGTTTAGTTTGTCCACTATTAACTCAACTTTCTATGGGACCTTACCTTCGGTTTCTAAAGCAAATGCGCTGTATTTCCTTCAGGCCTGTAGTTGAGACCATTCATCCATTCTTTTTCTGGTTTTATTGCGAGTCCCACATGAACCTCATATGGTTGTGAACCGAGGAAGCACAGAACTTCCATGCTGAAGTGCAAAGCCTTCTACTTCCTATGTATCTCACTGCTATCATCGTCAGCAACACGGACGTTGACTGAGACTAGGTGATTAACGGGATAAAAACGGTCATGACAATCAGCAGATTACGATACTTCCATCTAGTCGAGGAACTTCTTCTGGTTTCGGCAGCCATTGTTTTTTCCTGAAATCACCGATAGTTTATAAAAACTAGACTCTACTCATGCACCGGAGCCTCAGCTAGGGAAGTGTTTGGCAGTGGTAGGATTTGTTTTCCGGGTTTGAATTCTGGTCTCGCCCCACTCATTCCACTAGAACTGGCTTTTGGCCTCTTTTTTCGTGAAATACTTTAATCACTGTCACGTATTTGTTCTTTGAACCTATACTACTACAGCAACCATCATATTACATCGACTGATGTAATATGTAGCTTTTACAGTAAATTTAGCGTTTTCCTTATTGCTGTACCACTGGGATATCAGTGTTTTGATGGTCGGTACCAGAGGTGAATGTGGATGCGTGTTTCACATTCAAGTTTGGGATGTGTCCAGACATGCAGTATATGGGTGCCATCTGTTTTCGATCACAAAGTTTATCCACGCTTTGCCTACTTTTCGCCAGTTTACTTTACGTGTGTTCTGCGTGTGTTAGTGTGAGGCTATCCCAAACGCGATCTATCCGACACTAAAACCACCCTCAAGACTCCCGTTTCCTTTCGGAATCAACAGTCGGACATTGATGTCGGTTTCCTAAACCGGAACATTTGTCCCTTGGTTTATATATATATATATATATATATATATATATATATATATATATATAAAGTCTAGGTTAGGTTGGCTTATGCGGACTAGTTTAACCTGCTTCCTCATGGTTTTATTCCATCTTTGTGGGCCTTTGCTAATCTAATTAACCACCGATCTCTTCCGGTTCCAGCCGACAAACTCCAAGTCGAGCGCAAGGATCCAGTTTGAACGCTGCTCTCGAGCATATCTCACGGCTTGAAGCGTGGCTTCGTCGATTTGTGGAGAAGGTCACAGATGAAAACAATCTGACGTCGGACCGAATTTCAAAAATCAACGAGAAGATTGAAGGTAACCATTCGGCGAAAGTCTGCACTTTCGGTATCTTGCTCACTCTATTTGCTCATGCTATCCTCAAATGACGCTACCCGTTGGTTCACTCTGATTGACAGTAAAAAGTATGTATTGTAGGCAACAAGTGCCTTGCCCTTCGAATTACATACCATAATTGTTCTGAATAATGCTTTGATGGTTTCAACTCTTTCGACCAGAAGCAACCATCTTGGTTTGATGATCAAGCGTGAGGGTGGCAATTGTCATCGAGGTGCATCCTCCCCTGGAAGACCAACGAGGAGCCGTTTAACAACGTACTGTGAACCTCAATCGCAGTACAATGCGGTCTGGAGGCAAACTAATGTTTTCTTCTGTGGCAGGAGTACGAGGGAAGCGAGCTGTTACTTTAACTAACGGCGACGTCCATATTTATTGATGCATTACTGTCGATTCGGCCAACGCCTCTCGGGGAACACGATGCTAGCAAAGATCCTCACTAAAACTGCACACTCCGGCTGCTGAACGTTTGAACGCAACCGCCACCGACTTAATATGGTCTAAAGGCCTTGTCATTCACAATAGCACCAGGGGGCCCTGGTTGTACATCATACTCCTTTCGCTGCCGGATTAAGCTAGTCTTTGCCGCCGGCCAAAGAAGTCAGGCTATTGGAAAGTTGGTGCCGAGCAGGTACCCAGAGAAAGCCCTGATCCATGCTACTTCCTCTGAGCGAAATTTGTAAATCAATCGCTCAGTTCGGGTTGCCTCATGCAAACTGCATTCTTCGATGTAACCCACAGAGAGATTTTCGCTTTATCATCTCCGAAGGGGGCATTCGAAAATTCACGTATGTCATGCACGTTAAACTACTTGGAACGAGTGTCCGCTTATCCTTGTCGTATAGTGTACATGCTCGGTCAATCAGTTTGATGATTACTGCACCTAAGAGATAATCCTGCAGAGACCGGTCAGTCACCATGGGAGACTAATCCATGAGCACCGAGTAAGCTTTCGAGATAACCGAAGGTGAATTGATTATATGCTTGCTTTAGAAGAAGCTTTGAACACCTCTGTTTCAAAAGACCAACAATAGTAATTTTCATTGATCCAAATAGTGTCTTTGTCACCGGTACTATGACACACTTCGTCACTTGAAGACGTCTCAGTTGAATTACTGCCTCTTCTTAAGGCAATGTGCGTCCTCCATTAGGACACCTACAGATCTACGTTGAGCTCACCACTTCCAGTGATGCCAAACAAGACTGCCTCCTCATACCATTTTCCTTTACCTTGCTTGAAGCTTCTGTACCTGTCCGTAGTTGTTCTCAATCAACTGGAGGAAGTTTGGAACCGCTTGAGCCAGGTGCTCGTGAAACGATAACTTTACCTGTCTTTGGCGCTTCGCGAGTGAAGCCAATGTTCAGGTATCAGCTAGCAAAAACCGATGAGGCGGGCTATACTTTTTTCTCGGATCAACTTCTTGACAAATGCAAACCATTTTAAACAACAATTCTGCTGCGCGGTTGGCGTGTACTTCACACTTCCAAGGTGTAAAATGCTACTGGAATATTGAGTGGGATCACATCTAAAAATTGTGTTAACAGTCCAGTCAACTGATGTGTACGAAGGCAGTTGTACAAGTCCTAAGGTCTTGACGGAAGATTAAATCTACAATCTAGATTAAATGCTAGAATATAGAGAGTCCGGAGGGCTTGTGTCACCTGCGTCATAACCTAAGTTTTCTTTCGAAAGCGGTGCATGCACTGGTCACTGTGATCCATACTGATACATGGATGAAAAATGTGACCTCTTCGTACAGGAGAAAATGTGATAAAACTTGATTTCTCTAGAGCATTGTTCTAGTAGGGATATCGAATCCGTATTGCTGTAGCTCGTCTGGACACTGGACCGGCAAGCGGCCCGATCCTGTGACCAGTCGCCTGCAAGTTAGGTTTGCTGGCCTAAGCATGACCTAAACATGGTTTAGATTTCCGCCTAACGCCTTCTAGTTAAATATCTTAACAATTACACACTGAAGAGTCTGTAGATCCGGGTTGTTTCTATCTAAGCCTCAAACTTCCCAGCAAATGGGGTGGATTATGGAATCACCCAAACATCGACTACCGACAGTGCCAGTCGATGACCGTCCTTTTGGTGCGCTGAGCTCCTGGGTAGATATGAGAAGCACCGAGTTAGAGTCTAGGTGGTGATTTGTTGACACGGCGACTGTGATGGATCGGATAGCAGTATCAGTTTGGTAAAATTACATGGTTGCATTCTCCAAAGGTGTTTGTCAGTATCAATAATTGCCTGCATGACCCATCCGCGCTGCAGGACCGATTCGATTTGGTGAGTCGAAACATTTTTACCACTGAAATATTTACGATAAGAATCTTGTTTCAATTTAGTGAACCCATTTCAATTTGGGTGAGACAATAATTAAGAGGGAGAGAACTGCCACATTCTGTGTACGCTCTGTACTCAATATTAGACTCTACAAGTCAAAACTCAAGGGGTTTACACCATCGGTTGGTTCAACTTTACTGTTATTTTATCATCTCCGTCCAAGTTTCCTCATACTGTATTATAAAATGTCAACTTGTTTACGGGTTAGCCACATATTCCTCCATTCTTTCTTTCAAGGAATAATTGAAGGCCACCTGTTGAACTTGGAGACAATCTATCCTGAGGTGAAGAGCATACCAAAAGCCAAAAAGGTTAGTTCGTCTTTTTCAATCAATTGGAAACTGTTTGGGACCGATTCAGCAGTCATCGTTCCAGGGATATTAGTTAAACAAGCGGTGGATTTCTTGCTGGGCAACGTTTCACTTTTGACACAAACCCTTCGTCAGGCCAAATGAATAAGTTGTCTTAAGGCAGTCAGGGGGCCAATCCTTGAGATTTCTTGCGCCTAATTGATTTTATCGTTGCTTGCTGTAGGTCTAAAATTCCTGTTTCGTTAGTTAGTGGGGATGACTAGCTTACGATAGGTTGGTTTGGGGGAACGGTCTTCATGTTGAATCTGGATGTTGCTGGCTTGCTTCCACTGTCTAGGACACCTTAATGGAACTAAGGGGTCGTTCACAGACTGTTGGTCTGTGCGTCCAGGTTGCCAGGATAATTGGCTTGGGGTTGACGGGGGTTGGTGGATAAGTGGATCCTACTCTGCTTGATTTAGTACTTTTGGACCTAGGCCATTTTTGCTGATAACTGCACACCGCCTCGTGTCGTCTCAGCTGATTTAAAACCGCGCTTCACACACTTGCCAGTTCTACAGCCTTTATTCTGTTTTATTCACGCTGGGATGCGTGGCGATTTCCACCGCTTCGGTCAGAAGTCACTGTGGTGTGAATTTTAGTCCCCGTTTCAAAATCACCATATTTTCCAAACCTATCCTGTGCCCAGTGTCCAGTGCATACCCTGTATTTGGATTACATTTACGTTTACTTGTACCTTGTACCCGAGTAGCACAAAGTGCGCATTGAATTAGCGAGGGCGAGTAACTTGTTAACTGGTTTATGTTACATGTGCTTACTTTCTAATCTAGAGTTTTTTGTGAACAAATGCTTGTTTTGAATTTCTACGGTGTTGTATATCATCATACCAACAACTTTCTGTTCACACTATCACGGACATAGCTTCCTGATTCCAGCCAGTCATCAGACACAATAAGCCATGTTCACTGCGTGAATGAACCAAACTTCTTGCGTTTAGAGTTACATGAATCGGTCAACAATGTACGGTGTCGAAAAGTTCGAGCATAACGGCTACCACCACACCAGGACTTTAACATGATCAACTGTCGGAATAGCTATTTGGCACAGCGCGTCTTTCACATTCTTCACAACTGTCATTCTAATTTTAGGTCTGCACCCTGTTTGTATATTCTTTATGGTTCGCGATACTCCTCTTTACTGTACCTTCCTTGACAAATGTTTTCAATTTAACTTTGGGTTCATGTTTTCCGCCTGTATCCCTTTTTCAAATGATTCGGCACACATTCTTGCACCCCCAATAGCCGGAAATCGTCAGTCCCACTCTACTAGACAGCGAAGTCCCAATCGCGATCGTGGGCAACGAATGTGTACGATGTCAGCTTTTGGTTGACGGTCGACTAGAACGTACGGATTGGCAGTGGTTGGACACAGACGGGGATTTACACAACTCGGGACAATCAAGTAGTCTTTCCGATCGCCCGGGTGTCGGGTCTTCTGCGGATACAGAGGTTGAGTTAGATGCGATGCTTCGGCCTCTTTTGCCAGCACAAGGAGCATTGTTCGTGACCAACTATCGGGTTATTTTCACGGGCGTGCCAAAAGATCCTTATCGTAAGTTTGTCAACTGTCACTGTTCCTGCTTTCATTTCAAGCTTTTTGTGGCATTTTTGTAATTCACAGTGAAACTTGCAGTGACACTTAAATCTTCTAAACACCTATTTTACCTATCAGCTTTATTAGGTGGGTTTTTTCTGTCTGCCTTGCTGTGTTAACATAAAACGGACAAAACGAGAAATTCACTGTGGTTGTGGTATTTTTTCGTATCTATTGCTTTACTGCTTAGTATGACCAATCCTCTTTCAAACACATGCATTACTTTACCTTCCCATTGAAATGATTGGCTACGGTTAGTTTTCCAGGTCTATTATTAGGCCTTCTGTTTTCAGTAGAAATTTCCCAATGTAGTTTACTCGGGCGTTGTATACGTCGGTAGTCTGGTCCGTCGCAGCTGCTCGGAGAAGGCCATATATCCCTACTGTAGACTGACTTGATAAGTCGTAATTGTGCGGGTAGATCGAATTTTCTACTGTTTCTCCCACATAATAATGTAATTTCTCCGATCAAGAATAAACCTCGACCGATTACTTCCCATCGTGCTTCCTAACGCAAACCTGAATTGGAAACTTTTCAGTATGCTGGCAGCTGCCGAATTAATTCATTATTTCAAATCCCACAACTCCACTGGAGGCGAAATTATCTGTGGGGTTGATTGAATAGTCCAATCCTTACGCTGAGGCTGACCAAATTTTCTGCAGACATAGAAAAATCTGTACGTACATTGGACGTCTGTACTCATCATTAGATTGGTGCACTCACACAGAATAAAATAAAATAAATTCAGCTGTAGCGCTCTTTCGGTGCCTAGCTGCCAGGTTGCCCAAGCCTAGGCATGAAAAGTCGAGAGGTAGAGGTCAGGTTTAACTACGGACTTTCCGGTCGGTAAATTCGCGAGCTGTCTCGCCCTACCCACACAGAACTGGGGCTCTGAACTTTTCATGCTGGTTGTACAAAAACAGTTGAATTTACTACATACTGAATTTGCGCTCCTTTGGCCCATTTCTCATGAGACTTCATGGTAGACGTAGGCGATGTGAAGTAAAACACACTATGATGACAAATAGCTTGTAACTTTTAGGTCGCTTGCGCCGTAACATCAAATCACATATTTACGCTCTTGTTTTATTGAGCTGCGTTAGTCTACGCCTATAGTGCCCCAACCAAGCCTCTTTAAGTCGAGAGCTTGTGTGGAAAGATAAAAGATCGCATGCCCCGTTCATATGTGGCTGTTAGAATTTAATGTCATTCACTGTGCAGCATGTCCTGGCTTAGTTCACCTTAGTTTTCTCAACCGTGACAAACGAACCAGTGTTGTACTCATACTAGCCTTTCTTCCCAGATGTGCCTTGCGAAGAAGACGATAACTGTTTTGAGGTTGGATACATCTGGTCGTTTATACGTGATCCAACTTTTTTTCGGTTGTGCGTCACCATCCTCAACGAAGCCGAGTGCAATCTAAAAAATAGGGGGTGGCTGTGAAGCCTAATTGCATATGACTGATTCTCGTAGGTGAACGAAGTTGGAAGCCGATCGCATCCTCGGAGTTAGTTCCTGTGTATTCGTTTTTGAGCCTCATCGATGGTAATTAATCTTCAGCTATTCTTGATTTGTCAAGCCTACCTTCCAGTGGATGGCATGTTCACTTTCATATACGAACAAGCTAGTTGATCTTTCTGAGGTTGCTTACCTTTCCTTTGGAACCAGTATCTCTTGAAGCAGCATTAGATGACCTGAGAAATTTCTCATGTAGACGATACCCAGGTACGGTGATAGGTTGCCACCTCTCCCTGAATTGCGAGCATTTTTCGAAGTGAATAGAAAATCTTTTGGAATTCACCGGTAGGCGACGACACAAACCACGCATATCTATATTAGCACACAAATGTTGGTTTTATGTCAGGCTTCTGCTTGATGTAATTATTGAGTGGGGCGTGGCACAACGAAACTCAACGCCTCTGTTCATTTTGGTGCTGTATTTCAACCGTGACGCGCCGCTCTACGGCAACTGCGTCATGCAACGGCAAACTTATGAATGATTTCTCTGGTATCTATGTTAAGAGTACCCAAATTTTGATGAGCTGCTAGTGTATTTATTTTTTGTGCGACATACGCAGGAAAAAGCAAACGAGTTATTCTTACAAAGTCAGATTAGCTCTAGTAGCAGTTCATGTTTCCTAAGAACAGAGTAGACGAGTTTAGCCAGTTTTAATAGTGTGTACTGCTCACCTGAAAGCACCCACGGAAGTCGGTCGCCTGGGGCGAAAAACAACGGACCTATCCCATATGAACATCATTTGCCCACCCCCAAGGCTGTTCCCTCTTTTGTACGTAACGTCTGATTCAATAATCCCCTTCCTTCCCTGACTAACTTGTGAACCTTTGCAACATATGAAATGCTAAAAATCAGAGGCAGATTACTACCGAACTACTTACTGGTGTTTTTGTGCAATAACCTTGAAATGCATCTGGAGCTACCAACTCCGTCTGGATTCGAGTTCCTTTTCAATGCAACCCCCGCTTCCAGGTATCTATTGCCTTACTGTGCGCAAAGCCTGTGGAAGATGGTTCCTGGTTTTCGTCCTCCTAAGGTTAAATCATTTATCGTTTACTCAACTTAAACTCTATTACAACCTCGCTTGAGCATATGTCTATATGACTAAATGAGCTGATTACATTTGATTCATCCCATGAGCTGTCTTATGGTCATTACTTCATTAGCTTTGTTTCACTCACTGTAAGTTTTTCATTACTCTTCCTTTCAATCTCTATAGAATCCAACAAAGTAATCACCCGAAGCTTCCCTGTTGCCTCTCTGTATTCAATAAAGAAAATGGGATTAATGAGAATTACCACCATTTTCCCTGCGACCTCTGCTCAGCAGAATCCATGCGTACCGCCCCACAAGTCCGGGAAGCGCGCGCGAGCGCCCAATTCTCATAGTCATAGTGCTGGAACCAAGCGAAGGCTAGGTCGCGGAAGCCATTATGGCTCCGGACTGGAGGGTGTGGGTGGTCGGGGAGGTCTAGTCCGAATCGATGAGAACCTTGAAGTTCTTCATATCCGGGCAGTAACTATGCAGCTACTCAAACTTGGGTTCGATCCCGATGAAGTGTCACAAGACATGCGAGACGAACTGCGAAATCTGTTAACGGAACTCCGCTATCCCACATCGCTTCAAATGGGATTTAATTCACCCCCACCCGGAGTTACGGTTTGGAAGGTCCAAGGGGTTGACTCGGACCTATCCACTTCAGGTTCGGCATCTCTCAGAAATCGACGGTATGTTATCGTATCGGTGGTGTAATGGACTAATATGGCTAATTGTCGCAAATTCCATTTTGAAAATTAAATGGCCCATGTGTTTGAGTTTTGTGTTTTGAGGATTAGTTTGAATAAATGCACCCTTAAACCCCGCAATAGTATGTTTTGTTTAAACCGTTTGATGTAACTACTGTGAATTTTCAGTTCGAATCTAAATTATTTGACTGAACAAAGTCGACTTGTAAGCTTTTTCAGTGATATTGCTTATCCACTGTTCAAAAGAAACTAGTGAACACACCATATCAGGGCTCGACTGGGTCAACTCGGGTTCACGATGAATTAAATTCGGGCCACGGTACAAATTTTGACTTTTCGACCTGACCGTAATCGGGTTCAGGGTGGGTTTTGTTTAGAGTAATAATAAGTCTCTTAGGTTGGCTTCTAAACTTACTCTCCGCATTCACCGCTCCGTTCCCACTTTCAAATATAGAACGGATATGTCCATTGTATTCGGTCTGCCAACGACTAGTTAACCCACGGCTCACGCATTTTAGTCCTAGTTCAGTGTAATATCAGCGTACTAATGATGAATGCACCGTGAGTTTAAACCGGATCAGCACTTACTTGGTGACCAGTTGCGGACGCCAGGTGTGCCTCGTTTACTTCAATTACAAAGGGTTCATGATTTCGCTTGAGGAGTTGCCGTGGTTTAACTTGCAGGAATCTTGTCTTGCACGGGCCGATATACACAGTTCAAGTATGTAGAAATGACATATAACAAAATCAAGTCATTCGCCGCTGATTGTTCCCGGCAGTAGTCCCTCACCTTAACTGTCTGCGCTGCAACCCACGCTAGTAGAAACGTTTATTGTGGACAGTGGACCATATTCTATCGATTTTCTGCTATCTCTGCATTTTGACTCTCAGCTCGTATTTGCTGTAGGTTTCCATGATCCAGCATATTTAGTCCTGTCTAATATCTGTACTGGGTTTAGTTCGGATTATCCATCGATATTTAGTTGATCCTCTAAAGGATGCGGATCGTGTACTTAGTTGTGAGTACACGTTTCATCTTGATGACAAACTCTCATCTGAGGAACAATATGAGGGAAGACTTTTCACCTTAATTCCGAAGGAAGGAATAGAAATGGCCCGGGAACGGTCTTCGTGCTAGCCTACCATAATCATTCTGAGGTTCCCACACCTCCAGACGCTCATTCAGGTAATCTGGATAGAAAGTGACAACAAGAACGCCGCTGACATCGATCAGCAACCATATCTTATTGCGTCTAAAACTAGATGCAGTGGGGATCACGCGGTCCCCATTCTGGAAGGTGAGTTGCACTAACAATGGCGTACTTCCATACCCCTCTTTTGGGTGAAGAGTGGGCCAACCCATTGCTTCCGCCACTCATAACTGGGCACGGAAAACAGCACTCTGGTCCGAAAACGATGGTTTAGCATACACAATACATGGTCTAACCAACACAGCCTCTGGTGCTGGACACATTCTTCAGCGAAAGTTTCCGTCCCATGACCGAAAATTCGCTATCTGATGACCTCCTTACAGGTTTGCCAACACCAACCCACACGAGCTGTGGTTCAGAGACAACGGTTGTCAAACACCTGAAGACCTCTCAGTTCCGCTGCTCGAACAGGCCAAGTATCACACCCATACGGCAACGCAGGCCGTGCTGTGGCCTGATGCACAAAGCACTGAGAATCAGGGATCGCTTTGACGCCATAGGTGTCTCAAATTAACAAATATAACCCGAACTTTCAGATTCGTGCACCGACCTCATCTGTTACACTGCAGTGAGAAATGATACAACTTCCAAGATACGTTAAACGCTTCCCAAACTTCGCGTGCCTCCACCGTGATTGTAAGTGGTGTGCTCAGTGACTGCATGTCCACGAGCATGACCTTCCTACTTGTGAGTGCTCAGTTGATGTCAAACGACGGACTGGCTTTAGTCAGTTAATCCAAAAATACGTGTGCCTTTTTCCTGCCTTCAAAACTGAGAACGATATCCCTGCATATTCCAGATCAGTAGCTATTTAAGCACCGGGATTTTCAAGACCATCCAGCATTTGTCTCATAATCTCGTCGATCATGAAATTAAATAGTAATGGAGGGAATATGCACCCCCTGATGGTCACCTTTTTCATGCGATCTTTTAGAGTGCTCTCTGTTTACTCTCACATATCTGCAGCTCTGATAAATTCGAAGAACTTATTATGTTCACAAACTTCATGGGGCAGTGCTTGCTAAGCGACCGTGTCAAGGAGAACAGATCGGTCAACCTAGTCGAATGGGCTTTGGAGATCCTGGACTACTGAAATTGTGGGTCCTTTTTACGCATAGCTTTGTTCTACAACCTACCGGATTGTGAATATTTGCGTTAAGTAGCCCATACCAGGCTGCAATCCTGCTTGCTTCTCACGAGTCAGTGTTTCACGAGCCACCTCTGAATCTGGAGGGCCAGGTGACTGTGTTGGGCATGAGCAACTTTGCAAAAGTCGCACGGGTACCCTCCAGTATAGCCCAGAAGTTTTTTCAGCGACCTTTACATAGTGCATTATGCCAAGAAAACCCCCCTTGGTCTGTTTGATTCTGGCTTAGTTTTGCTCCATACCTCCAAAGAAGCAAAGACTTGGACGATGTTCCTTGTGAAGTGGAAGTACCGTACTGATGAAATTCGGAACGATATTTCAGTGTTTCGCTGTTTTCTTTTATGTAGGATTCATGGTTTGATTTAAATTTCATTGTCCGTTTTTAATCGGAGCTTGGCCACTTGCCTTTAGAGTTTACATTTCCTCTTGGCAACTATCCTAAGGCATTCGTTTGGTCATTGGTGCTGACTGATAGACTGTTCTCTCCCAGGTCATTTTGAAGAAATTTCTCTCCAATCGCACCGCTTACCTTTTTCACAGGATGTTTTCTATTTTTTTCGCTCGTTCTCTTTTCTTCACGATAAAGTGTCATAAGCGGCCCACGACTCAAACCTCCCCCATCTTCGTTGAATCGACCAAGAGACAGCAGTCTCAGTGCTGACGAACCTGGTCACACAATTGCGCCGTTGGCGTCCCTTACCAGTGAATGTAAGTCATTTGTACTTCTTACTATATATATATATATATATATATACTCTACAGATAGTTTAACACGGGTTTTGAATGAAGCCTCTTGTTCTGAGTCAAGCTGAGTCGTGATCCTTCATATTGGTAGAGAACCCTGACCATCGCATACAACTATGTAGACTGTCTTCGGTTTACAGTTA